ATAAAACAGAAGGACATAAGATTAGTCATGATGATGAATAAAAAAAATGTGAAGCAACCAGACCATACCAATTAGTTTCAGCTACTCTAGGAGAAGAGGCTTCAAGCAGCAATTCCTCAGAAGAAAACGCTATTAAACCAGAAGATAGGCTCGATGGTCTCAATACTCCTTCAACTTCTCAGATGAGAATAAAACTACCAAGTGTAGCACTGGCATGTGACAGAACGGGTGTCTCAGATAGGGCAGCAGCAATTCTTGTTAGTGCAGCATTAAAAGATATGGGAATAGTTACTACAGTGGACTCATCAAAAATTGTCGATCGCAGCAAAATTCGAAGAGAAAGGGCAAAAGTTCGAGTTGACCTAAAGAGAAAAGACGAGAGAAGAAAAGAAGTGTATGGAATATATTTTGATGGAAGAAAAGATCAAATATTAGTTCAAACTAGTAAAGAAGGAATTTCGTCCAAGAAAACGAAGATTGAGAAGCATATAGTTTTAGTTTCAGAACCAGGATCTAAATACATTGGACATTTCACTCCTGAATCTGGTAGTATTGAAAAAAGCATTCTAGATTTTCTGAAACCTAATTTTGATGTTTCTAACTTGTTAGTTATAGGTTGTGATGGTACGGCAGTAAATACTGGATCTAAGAATGGAATTATTAGACAACTTGAGGTTTCGCTGAATCGATCTCTGCAATGGTTTGTTTGCCTACTGCATGCAAATGAACTACCTTTAAGACATTTATTGCAACATCTAGATGGGAAAACAACTGGTCCAAAAGGATTCAGTGGCGAGATAGGAAAGCAATTAGAAAAATGTGAAATCTTAGAGCCTACAAATTTTAAACCAATAGAAATTAGTTTGCCTGAAATCACTGCTGATAAACTTAGCTCCGACCAACAATATCTTTATGAAATTTGTAATGCTATTTCAAAAGGGAACATCTCTTTGAACTTGTCAAAAAGGAACCCAGGTAAAATGGCTCATTCCAGATGGCTTACGATCGCAAACAGGATTTTACGATTATATGTCTCCACAGCGAAACCATCACAGAATCTAATTATTCCAACAGAATATGTCATGAAAGTGTATGCCACCACATGGTTTGCAATCAAAAGCCAACCATCATGTCGACATGGGAGTAAGCATCTATTTGGTATGATAGAAAAATCTAGGTTTTTACCAGAAGACTTAAGAAAAATCATAGATCCAGTTATACAAAGGAACGGTTATTTTGGTCATCCTGAAAATTTATTATTGGCCATGTTGGCTGACACTCGCAAAACAGTGAGAGAATTAGGTCTCAGAAGATTGTTGAAATGTAGAAAAATAGCAAACCAACAAGAAATACGAGAGTTCAAACTCCCAGCTTTAAAGTTTGATGCTGAAGATTACATAGATATCATTGATTGGCAGTCGACAACAATAACCGAACCTCCCCTAACAAAATATATTTCCAATGAAGAACTAGAAGAAATGATCCTAGATGTTCCAGAGGAAATTGAAATTTTGAAATATCCATGCCACACGCAAGCAGTGGAAAGGTGTGTAAAACTAGTAACCGAGGCGTCAGTTGCTGTGTGTGGAAATATAGCAAGGGATGGATTTATAAGAGCAAGAATTGCTTCTAGAGCTAGTTTGCCAGTATTCGAAACCAAATGTCAATACCTTTAAGTTTTTAACGTAAATTAGTCGTAGTAATATATATATATATATATATATATATATATATATATATATATATATATAAGGGTGGGAGGGCGGTGGAACTTGATATGCAGATACCTCCACGCGGTGAGTTCTGGGTTATTTACATCAAAAATGCATCAATGTGATACTTTTGATGTAAATAAGCGAAGAACTGCATCACAGCAATAAAAAAAATTTTGCATGAACTTTTGAAACTCAAGTCAAATGGGCAGTAGAAGATGTCAGTATTTTGAGCCACGTTTTTTTTCTAGAATATACCCTTATATTAGGCAACTTTTCCACGCATAGGCTTATTGATTTAGAGAATTTCTTTTTTGATGCCATTTTCACTCCACCCTAATGTACAGTAATTTGATCTACTCAAAGATCACAGGTATTTGCCGATTCCTGTGAATGGTGTAGTCAGAGATGTACCATGGGGACAATCTATAGTGCGGAGAATTTTGTGTTGCATGACTTGCAAAGTACGCACATGCGTAGGTCAGAGCAGGACGGAAAATCTTAGTATAAAGGCAAATTTCATTAGCGAGATTTAATTTTAAATTACGGTTCAGAAGCGGATAGAAGAGATGGAAAGTTATCAATACATTTTTGGTTAAATTTTGAACATGAGATTTCTAAATCATAGTTGCGATACCCAAATATTTCGATGCTGCTCCCCATGGGGCAGGAATATCATTAACAGAGATCTGCTCTGGAGCAAAATGCCTTTTCTTTGTAAAATAGTGATTGATTTTGATGCGCAACCGGAGGGCTCAACCACATACTTCATTCTCGGAATCCTGCAGACCCTGATCAGGCGAGTAGTAACAGCCGTGTCATCCGCATAAAGAAGTACCTAGCAGTGGGTGGGACAAGAATAATGTATAGGCCTCAGGACCGAGCCCTGAGAAACACCTCCGCTGATGGAACGTAGATTACGAATCATTATTGTTGATTCTGAACCGTGATTCCAATATTTGCAAAAGTTGAAGATTTATTAAATATTTACTTGTTTACGTGTTTTATTTACTTACTCTTCTTTTTAAGCTGCTTCGGTCATTCTGTATTTAATTCAATTTAAGCATATTTTTATGTTATTTATGCATGTATTTAAATGTTTGTTGCTGTGATGTGATATACTTAATTGTCATGTAATGTAATCATTAAATGATCTACTGAATAAGTATCTATCTATCTATCTAATAAGAATACCATTGGTTAAAGTATAGGATTCAAGCAAAGTCGCGATTTCTTATGTGATATCTTGATAAGTTATGATTTCAGAACAAGACCAAGCAGAACTGCTTCATTTGTACTGAGTAATTACCTTAATTGAACACGTTTTAGTAAAAAGGTGAATAATTGGTTTTTGGATCTTAGCAGATATGATAAAGAATTGGCAGTATATCAGAAACAAGAAATTTGGTAGAGTATCGGGAAGCCGGATATTATATACCAAGTGAAATATAAATCCGAACACCCAGTTTAAATTGTTTTATTTTAATAAAAGTTGGTGAATGTATTTATCTTACTGTAAATAACAAGTGAAAAAATGTTCAGCCTTATCAGTTGGACATTCCCGTTTTTATACTGCTTTTTTTTAATTCACTAACGCTCTAAAAATGAATATTTCAGCCGCAGTAAAGAACCAACGTTGGCGGATTTTGGTTCTTGACATCCTTTACGATCGGTTACGATGCCTAGAGTACGGAGGTCTGTACGATTTCGTCAACTTAGTAAGTTTGATAGGGGCCGTATAGTGGGACTTCGGGAAGCTGGACTTTCTTTTCGGGCAATTGCAGTTAGAGTGCAAAGAAGTGTAGACACTGTGGTTAGGTGTTGTCAGGCATGGCTTCGAGAAGGCCGTACGCAAAGAGCAAGGGGCACTGGACGCCGCCGTAGAACAACAGACCGTGAAGATCGCCGCCTAAGATTATTGGCCTTAAGGGACCGTTTCTCCACTACCAGGTCCACTGCAAATGAATGGTTTGCAGAACACGGAAGACCTATTGGCATGCGAAGTGTTTACCGACGAACGAGAAGTTTTGGCTTGTTTTCATACCGGCCACACTGGGTCCTCCCTTTAACTCGAGAACACCGACGTAATCGCCTTGAGTGGTGCAGACAACGGTCACTCTGGGATCACGAATGGAACAGTATTGTCTTTAGTGAAGAGTCTCGATTTTGTTTAGGCATGCACGATGGTCGTGCCAGGGTTAGAAGGCGACGTGGTGAAAGGAGGAATCCACAGTTTTTTGTTGAAAGACATGTTCATCACACTGTTGGAGTTATGGTTTGGGGTGCTATAGCTTATGGTTCCAGGTCACCTTTAATCTTCATCAGAGGTAACATGAACGCGCAGCTTTATATTCACGAAGTTCTAGAACCCCATCTTTTACCCTATCTTGACACCCTGGCAGATCCAACTTCCAACAAGATAATGCCCGACCACATGTTGCAAGAGTCACAATAGACTTCTTTCAACATAATGATGTCACATTATTACCATGGCCACCAAGATCTCCCGACTTATCTCTAATTGAGCACGTGTGGGATATTATGGGTAGGAGATTGCTCAATTTGCAACGTCCTCCTCAGACTCTAGAAGCACTTTGAGAGGAGTTGGTAGTTGCCTGAAATGAGATACCACAGGAGGACATTGAAAACCTGACCAGAAGCATGCCTAGGCGCGTTGGAGAATGCGTAGCACATCAGGGTGCATCCACACATTATTAAAGGTCAAAGGGCTTTAAAGCAGTGCAATCATTTTTAAATTTTTATCATTTACTTTTTATTATATTCTATTAAAGTAAAGCCATTTAAACTGGGTGTTCGGATTTATATGTCACTTAGTATATTTTCGAAATCTTTTAAATATATTTGAACAATGAGATTAGAACTACAATTAGCTACAACGGCTACAGAGCAACATTATCAAGCTTTTGCCTAATTTTTCACCCATATTTGTTTCTTCACGTGGAGTTACTACGCCAGCTTCATACAAAACTATAAAATGATGCATCAGTGATATGTGTCTACCTAAAACGACTTAAAAATTAGTGTTCGTACCAGCAGATATTTTTTTAGTTTCAATTTTTACAACAAATTCTTGCCCGTACCAGACTAGCGCATATCGATATTCTTGTTATACGCTGTGTCCTGAAACATCCCCAAGAGAAACCTTAGCTACTTTGGAAAACATCCACTCCCAGACCTTTTTAGCCGTAATCCGCCTGGAGTATTTATTCAGAAGACGAGTTAAAAAAGAATAAAGCTTATATGCACGTGAAATAGGCCAGCACATACCCATTCTCTGCGATCTCGGGCTTTGTGGGGGTCTTCTCGAACGTAACAGACTCGAAAACCGGTTGCAACGGAAACTCATCCTCAGTTCTGTGCTGCTCTGCTGTCGGCGCACTAGCTTTTTTCTGTTTTACCATAGGGACACCTGTTGTCGTCGTCGTTATCTTGGGGAATATGTCTCTTTCGAACTGGTTTTCTGAGAAGACGCTGGAACTGTCTTCGCTCCTGTCATCTTCGGAGACCACAGACCTCGTCCGGTTGACCGTCCATTCGTTCTCTGACTGTTCTGGGTCAGACAACGACTGGGTGTAAGGCTGTGAATGACCTCCTTTTCTTTTCGCTTTTTGGATAATACCGGAAACGGTTGAGACGATTCCATTTTTCTTCTTCTTTCTCATTGCACCAGGAGGTCGAACGTCTTCTTTCCTACTAACACCTGGTAACGAGAAAGATCTTGTTCTCTTGGTTAGGTGTAGATCTGGTAGCCAATGGCTCACAGAGCTCATGGCTGATTTGAGTGTGTTGCCTCTTTTGAGCTTCTTTGGTTTCTCTTCACGTGGATGGGGATGTGTATGGTGCTCGTTGCCAGAAGAAATCGTGATGTATCTGTAAAGAAACTTGAATGTTACTTAATTGCTTAAAGGTTCTCTCTTACCTCCCAAGTAAAATAACAAAATATTGATCATTTTGTTCCGAATGACCGAATACGTGGCATAGAAAACGTCGAAGAAAACGCTAAACGACAGTATATAAATGTTTTACAAGCTACCTCAAAATAAAAAAAAATCATTGCAGTAGGGGAAAATCGATGACATTCGGGATTCCGGATACACACACTGTAAAAAGGTTTATTCAGGAAGTAACTAGTCAGCGTCTTACTGATCAGTCTGAGATCATCAGTATCTTTGCTATTACTTTTTTGGTCATTAGACAGTTTTAAGCCCAGGATTCAAGAATTTTTTTCAAAATTTCATGAACTATGAGTTAGGACAATAGTCTTATTACGCGTGTTGTAGCTACGAAAACCTGAATACATACATTGCAAAATAATGCCTAATATCCCTAAGATAAAATTTTCTCTGGAGATGCAGGGCCTTAGAAAGGGTACTGAATATATTTTTTTCTTGAATGAAACTCGAACGACACTAGAATTTAAGAGAAAACTGACACTTTGTATAACGATGGCCAACGGCATTTTCAAAAAGTGTAATCTTTAAGCCGAGGAAAATGTACTTGTGTTTGATATTCATAACATGAGCTTCGGTGGATCTAATATACTGGTTGCGTCATTTTGAAAATATTGTAGTTGAGATAATATACGTATATCCTTAATTAGCGGTCCAGCAAATCTCAAGATACTATTTTCACTTAGCCGAGTTTTAGATTTTTACGAACTCCCTACAGAATCGGACCTTATTGAAACAAATCTACTCTTTTTCTTCAAGAATGCTTCATTGTATCCAAGCAAAGAAGAATGCAGCTCAATCACTGGGCTATACGGGTGTGAAAAGACCAACAATACTTCGTTATGGCTAGAGCTAGATTATCCTTGGAATCTGGATGATTTCTTTTCCATGTATAATAACACCTGAGGGCATGTCGTTCAAAACTTATTTAAGGCCGTATCGTCAGTCCTTCCTTTAATTGTAGGACGCCTTTATGGCCTTCTTGACTTTCATACTCTTTTCTCCCGTTCAGAGGGTATTTCTGGATTTCTACTGTTCCGTGTTAGCGTCAGCGCTCTCCTATTGTAAAGTTATGCTTTCTTTTTGAATTTCAGGAAATTCAAGGATGTTAAAACAGATGATATAAGTCAAAAGTATGAATAATTTGATGGAAATAGATATTTGTAACATAACCTCAAAATAGGGCACTGACATCGAACAGTAGAAAACTATGAACGTCATGGAGTTCAGAGTTCATAAAGGTGTCCTACAATTGTAGGATCGACTGACGATACGGCCTTTAGGAAGATCCGTCTGCCCGTCTCTAAGGGGAACCCTCGTAGGACATTTTTCATAGGAACTTGTGGCATCATTTTTGTTTGTGAATCCAAGGAAACATCAAATTATTCTGAAACATCCCGCATATGCTTTCTAATATAATTCAAAGGACCATCCAAGTGAAATTCAGATCTCCAGTTTCGATTTCAATGTCGACGGAAAGTTGTTAGGTATTGAGAATATTGAGCTTCTCCCGTTTAAACGACTCTACGCTCGAGTCAGGAAATTTCAGCCTATTAGGGACACGCTTTCTACCTTTTATTCCATCTCGGTAAGCATTACGTCTACACGCATGAGGGGATTTGTTCGCAAAGAAAAATGCGTGACACACGTGAACAAAATGAGTCGTGCGTTCGGATGTTATTATCAAAATCAATTCTAAGCAGAGTTTATAATTTGTTGCGCTTGTAAACAGACAATATTTTTACTGTATGTCCGACATATATCTGATACAGCGGAAGTATATAGCCGGGTCATATGCCGCAATATGTGGCTGGACTACAAATGCCATAGTTATAGAAAAATATTACAAGCGTTTACACAATACAAGTCGAGATATCTCAAATTAATCCTTCTATTTTTGAGTAAATGAATCATCTCGATATGTACCTTACGTCAAAATATCTTGAAAAATAATATCAATCTAATTGCTCATCTAATAATAGTTAACCTATTAAAACTATTAAACTCCCGTGCATTCCTGCAGATGAAACTGATTTCTAAAGAACTGGCTCCCACTTACCCAGACTGCGTCATGATGACCCCGGAAGCATCATAGTACGTATTCTGTCCATTCTGCTGCTGAACTACGTACTCAGGAACATTCCTGTTCCTCAAATCCAGCTCTAGGTATGGTATATCCTGCCTCTGATTCCACTGCTGTCTATTATGATGATTGATTTGTTGTTGATTCTCATAAATGGGCTGCTGTTGATGTTGGCTCTTCTGCCTCCGATCCATGTACGGACTATATCCAGTGTCCGACGTCTCCGCCGACCTCATTGAGCTAGAAGTACTGGTGCTATCAGGAAACTGCCCATCTGGCTGTCCCGCCATCCAAGCGTTCGGGTCAGAGTATTCGACCGGAGGCATGCCTCTGCCGACCTCGTACCTCGTCGAGGTAGGGTAGTAGGACAAGGCGTCCGTGATGTTGCCTGAAGGAAACATCGTGCGGTACATTGCAGTCTTGTAACCTTCGTGCTTTGACACACCTTCAGCTTTGCTGGCGGAGTAGGACCTAGAAGCTTGACGCTTTGGAGGGATGGTTTCCACCTGGAAAGTATGGAGGGAGGTTTATGGGATGTCATATACATTGTATGTATGCAGTTAATATTATTTGATGGTGAACACCACATACTGCAGCAATTACATGGGTATTACACTGTTGAGCATTCCACGTAAAGTATATGAAAGAATAATAGACAGAAAGCTGAGAGAGCATATTGAGGGCAATCTGGACGAGGCGCAAAGTGGTTTTATAGAGGGCCACAGTCTTCAGGACTACATATTTATTATTAAACAGCTCATTGAGAAAATCAGGATGAAGAACACCGAACTATACTTTGCGTGTTCAGATCTCGAAAAAGCATTCGACAGGGTCTCAAGGGGTGCTCTTTGTGAAAACTTGCACAACAGAAAAATAGATATATGGCTTGTAATTCAACAGTGTACAGTGAATATAATTATTTCTTATCTCTCTCTTTTTGAAATTTAGCAAACGTGTATATGTAATTTCCAGAATGGATAGGAAAATGTAGCTGCGCAACTAATTTCTAGCTTTGAATCTCAATTAAGTGTATTTGAGACAAGGGTCCAATGGAATTATCATCAACACATACAAATTACAGCTTAGACCTCCAGTAATGTCATCTCTTGAGCAGATTTTACATCACATCAGAGCCAAACATTGATAACTGATGCCTCATTACGTTTAGGCAACACGTACAGCTAAGTGTTAAGTTAACATGTTTTAGAAAAAACTCCTGACGTTATGAACTGGTTTGGACATTTTTGTTTAGGGAGCAGCATAACCGTGAATGTTCCTAGCTAGGACAGATCAAATCTGAGATTTTTCAAATGCTTAACATATACCGCTAAAAATATAATTTCTATCAGATTGAGATTTGTAAAAACGTACCGGAAAATCACTGGATGGCATCGACGAAAATGAGTTGTAGTAGTATCTTTGCTGGGCGTTGAAAAATTCGTTGTTTTCGTATGGTTCTACCAGATCTGGATAGTGCACGCTCTGATTGATGTAGTCCGCACTGTTGCTCGTGTAGACTGAGGTGTATGTCTCCCTGTTGCTGCCCGCTACCGAATAGATGGCGGGCTGGTCGTCCCGGTAGATGCATTCCCTGTACTCCTGTAAAAAAGGTTTGAGATAAGGATCGTGCCAGGATAAATTGCGGCATGAAGGGAACTCGTAAAAGCACACCTAGATTGCTTTTGTGTACTCGTATTGCTCGAAGATTTATTTTGATGTGTGAGTCTGTATCGGAGTGAATAGAATTTAATTACTAATATAATAATGATACGGAGTTGGAGAACTTGAGCGCGTCACCTATTAATAACGTGATCGAATATTAGTATTTTCCTGTAGAATAATGTAATAATCATTGTTCAAATCGATTTTCTGAAACGTATGGATCTGTATCGGTGTCCAAATAAACCAACATATCATTAAAATTTTCAGAGTTCACGATATCGAATTGATATCAGTGAAACATGATTGTGCAAAAAACGTATTTTTTCTCTAGAATCTGATCATCCAAACCCCATCTATAATCAAGATAGAATAGACATTGGGGGTTCGTATTTAGAGCCGCCTTACTATGATATCAATAGCTTGTATGGTGAGATTTGACGGCTTCGCAGAAAAAAACGAGCGAATATGTGGGATATAAAAAGAATTTTATAGCATTTGTGCAGCGATGCCCGGATGTTCGAGAGTGCGTGACCCAACTGATGCTGAGCGTTTACGTGAAAATTTATATTTTACTATATCTTGAATTTTGATATTTTTTCCGTCATGTTGGGGAAATAACCATATCCTCAGTATTTGAATAATAAAGTCCCATAACTAACCTCAAATTATTGCGTGCGACTCACTAACGGAGTACTAAAGCACTTTAGTTGATATGATACCAGTACTAATACCGGACTACAAATCGAAGTGAATTGAAATTTCAGGTAGTCAGATTTATTAAATAGCAAGGTCGATGTGTGAGTCCGTATCCATGTATGTAAAAATTTCATTTCAGATGTAAGTGCTTACAATACTAAATTTGAAAAAGTGGGTTATCAAGAAATTAGAACTTTTTCAGTAGGTCGGTTTGATATTATTCCATAAAATGTATGCGGGGCTCAAGGATTTTATAAAAGAAATATTCATATCCCACAACTCATACGTTCTCTGCTTTGTTTCTTTATATCGCAAGAGGGAATATTAGACGCATGAGTCTGTATCCGCGTATAACAAAATTACAAAATTTTTGAAATTTCAGGAAGTGTGATTTATCATATAAGAACATCGATGCTCAGATGTGTGAGTCTTCATCCAAGTATGTAAAAATCTCGTTACAGATATAAGTGTTTTACAATAATAAATTTGAAAAAGTGAGTTATCGAAGAATTGAAACTTTTCAGTAGGTCAGTTTGATATTATCCTATAAAATATATGGTAGGCTCAACGATTTTATAGAAGAAATACTGAAACCACGCAATTCACCGGTACTCCGTTTTGTTTCTTTGTATCGCGAGAGCAAGCATCAGATGCATGAGTCTGTATCCGCGTATATTAAAATTCCAAAACTTTTGAAATACAAGTCAGATTTATCATATAGCAACGTCGATGCTCATATGTCTGAGTAATTATCCAAGTATGTAAAAATGTGCTTTACAATACTAAATTTGAAAAAGTGAAGAAATTGAAACTTTTTCAGTAGGTCGGTTTTACATTATTCTATAAAATTTATGGTAGGGTCAACGATTTTATAAAAGAAATATTAAAATCCCCCAGTTCACCCGTACTCTGCTTCATTTCTTTGTATCGCGACAGAAAATATTAGATGCATAAGTCTGTATCCGCGTACATAAAAATTCTAGCACTAATATCTTATTTTTTAAATAATGAAGCCTAGAAATGATTTTTAGACTAGTATCAGTGCACGAATATTGCTTCAACTAATCTTAATCATCGACAGTCTAGCATTATTCATTCTTAATTCAACTAGAATACAAAAAGCTCTCCGTTAGGACTCAGTTTGGAATGTCGAAGCGAATTTACCTGTTGATCTTGTTGTTGTTGCTGCTGCTGCTGCTGCTGCTGCGGTGGTTGTGGTTGCTTATCAGCTTCATTTTTCTTGCGCGGACTAACGTTGATGTCTGATGCTGGTGCCGGAGCTGGCACAAAGTTCCCATAGCCATCCAAGGTCTTCAGCCCACTTGGTGACTTGACTGTCGTAAAGGCCGACAAATGATGGCCTCCAGGTAGAAAGTTTGAGGACAGATGGGAACCTGTAATATTTTACGGAATGTATTGGGCGGCATATAAAGACAGAAAGTGCCAGACAAAGCAATTCTGCATTAGGAAATGGGAACATCCACAAATCGGTTACAGCTTACGGATACTACTAATACATCAAATGCAACAACACAGCTAATATACTCAGTGACATTAGGAAAGTGTTACATCCAGAAAAACTAATTTCTTCAACTTGCTCTTTGGCAACGTGATGACTATATTCAAAGCATGCTATGGCAAAAATGTCAAAGTTTTATCTTTGTTTTAGTTTACCTCTTAGTTTGAGTCAGGAAAGCAGTTTTAGAGAGCTTTCATTTACTATTAAAGAATAACAGAACGCCTAGAGTTCGAAGACGTCCTAATTAGCACGATAATTTTGACAGAGGTGGAACTATTGCCTATCGGGATGTTGGTTCGTCCTATCGCAAAATTGGCGGCCGTGTTAATTGTACTGCAATGATGGTAATGCGAGTGTATCGTGTGTGAACAGAAGAAGGTAGAGTGACACAAAGAAGGCCGACTGGTTTAACGAGGCGTACTACAGAGCATCAAGATATGCGCTTCAGACAACCATACCTCGAGACCCTTTTGCTACTATGCGTCAGATATCTGACCAATGATTTGGAAAAGACGGTAGACCTGTTATGATGCGAAGACTCTATCGCCGCATTCGAGCCTTAGGACCGTTTTCATCCCGTCCGCGATTAGTGCTTCCTCTGACTGCCGTATCTGGACGGCCGTCCACTCGTCCTTTTTCAGCAAAACAATGCAGGTCCCCGTCGTACTACGAACTTTCTTCAAGACGCAGGCGTTGATGTCTTGCTATGACCAGCCCGTTCATTAGATTTAAATCCCATCGAACATGTGTGGGCATGATGGGGAGGAGACTATCCACTTTGCACCATCCTCCACAGACTCTGCCACAGGTAGTCCACGAAGTTCAAGTTGCTTGAAATTAGATGCCACAACCAGACATCGATCAACTCATTTTGTCGATGCCTAGACATATACCGGAGTGTATTCAGTTGCGGGGTCGCTCAACACTTTAATTTTTGTTCTTATTACTTGACAGTAAAATTTCGTGAGGATGTCATCGTTTCATTCTTGATGACAGACCACCTGATTGCCAAAAAATCAAGTTGAAGAAATCATTTTTTCCTGAGTTTAACACTTATAATGTCACTGAGTATATATAGTTTTCGTATCAATCGAGAAATAAAACACTGTTCGAAGTGCAACTAAACTTCAGAGCGAATTGTCATCAATATGCTTGTTTTATTCACCCAGCAAATTGGTTGAAAATTATTTCCTCCAATAGATGCATCCTTTTATTCACGCATTGTGTGCTCCAATTACAATGGAGCCCATTACCAGACAACAGCGACTATATGAGCTGTGATATGTTTTTACTTCCTATACACAAGTGCGTATATACTGTAACCATGGATCAAGACAGTATGCTTCTTTGATGTTCTGCTGTTTTCAGCTCGAGGCTCGAGATAAGGTATAGGACCATACCAAGATACCCGATCGCTCCTTCAACCGGTATAATACGATCAAGAATCTTCTGATGTATCATTAATGATTGCATACGCAGTTCACTTTACCAGCAGTCTACTGGGAATGTTTTGATGTCAAGTGAACGGACGTTATACGAGGACCATCTATTTGCTACCAAATCCATCAAAAATGTATCAATGGAAAGATGGACTGATGTTAACATTGAATTTCATTCATTTTATTAGTGACATATCCGACGTCTAGAAGCACGACGTCGGTCTTTTTAGTGGATGGCATGCATGTATTACATACAATCATTTCAACGTGACCGCGTCGGTCAGTCACTCTACTCACATTTTCAGATGCTCAGTTTCAATAGAATCATTCATACCGGCTCCAAATGAGGTCCTAGACTCTAGATTGCTCGGAATGATTAAAATCTCTACATTAGTGATTATTTTTTGGTTACGCCGCGATGTCAAGCTTTTTTGTCATCGTATTCATCTTTGAAATACGGTATTCATAAAATCTGCCTATACAAGATGCCGTCACCTAGTGACGAGGTTGAAACCAACCGAATTTTCGTGGTTGAGATAAAAGTATTTAAATTTTAGCTATTATCGAAATTTTCCTTATAGCAATGTCAATAACAGCAATAAATCAGGAACGCCCACAGAGTATGTTTTAGAAGTTGTTTGACGTTTACCTTCCGGTATTTTCGTATCCACGGACGACTCCGTGAAAGGCCTGGAACTGGACGAGGTGGCAACGGCAGGAGAAACGGGTCTTGCCGCTGAGTATCCGTAATAGTTTAAGGCAACTTTGTTTGTGCCGTTTTTCGGCGAGCCTGGAGACTTCTCCAGGCTGCTCCAGCCGCTCATTGAGGACAGCCCAGAATCGGACTTGGCCGCCACGATGTTGGATGAGTGCGACTTGCTTCTCCTTGGAGAGGTCTTTGGGGACTTGGGCGGGTGTTCGGGCATAATTGACGAGGAGGCGCATGCCGTGGCCATGCTGTCTGGGCCCAGGAAGACGTTCGACGCAGTCGTTGAAGGAACTATGGTGGAGTTGGACATTGCGAATGAGTTGCAGATGTTCGTCGGTGCTGGTGGAGGGGGGCTTGGCGAGGCGCTCGTCTCATGCGGCATTTGGGTGTCGATGTACCTGCAAAGAAGAGGAGTAAATCAGGTAGTTCTTAATAAAACGTCGATGTTTACGTAGTCGTGCCATAAGTTCTGTCCCATGATAATCTCATGATAAAAATGAAACAAGATAAGATATATTTATATGAAAGATATTATTTATTCGACAACATTTTTAGAATTCATAATCAAACAGTTTTATTCAAAATGTCCCCCCTTGGCCTTCACACACTGCTTCAATCTCGCGGGCCACTCATCTATCACTGCACGCACAGCTTCCAAAGGAATAGCTGCCGCTGATCGGATCAAATCTGCTTTCAGGGACTCGATATTACGGTGGGCTTTGGAGCAGGCCAACTGCTCTAGCAGGTCCCACAACTTGTAGTCTAAAGGATTGAGGTCCGGACTCCCTGAGGGCCAATCTTCCGCAGCAATGAACTCTGGCACATTGCTTTCCAGCCAGCGCTGCGTACTCTTAGCCTTGTGAGCGGGGGCGGAATCCTGCTGGTAGACCCAGTGTTGGTTGGCAAACAATGTACCACTTAAAGGCTTGACGATAGGATCCAGTATGTCGCTCTGATAGTTTGCCGCTTTTGTTTTCACGCCCTGTTTACAGAAATGGAGCTGAGTGACCCCTTCGTAGGACACCCCCCACCAAACCATGACTGACGCAGGGTGGTGGCCTCTCTCAACTCTCGGAATGATCTCCGAAGCTTCCTGTGAACTCCTTGCATACACTTTGTCATTTTGTCGGTTGAATTTTTCTTCTATGGTGAAGATTTTCTCATCCGTGAACAAAATCTTTCGGAATCCCCCAGCTGCGTACCTCTCCAAGAGCTTCTTGGATCTTGTCGCCCTGATGTGTCGCAAGGTGGCCGTAAGTCGCTGGCCCGTACGTCTCCGGTAAGCCCCTAGCCCTAGGTCTTGTTTAATGATGCGCGACATCGTCCGGACAGGAATCTTCATTTCCCTGGATAGGATCTTCTGCTTCCGGAGTGGATTCCTTTGAATCCTGGCTTTTACGGCTTTGATGGCTGCTGGAGTCCTTACTTGACGAGGTCTTCCGCTTCTTGGCCTGTCATCAACAGAGGACGTCTCATTGTACCGCTGAATGGTCCTAGACACAAATTTACGCGATATTTGAAGGCCGCGTAAGAGTTCAAAAATCTGACTAGCACTGTGATTACACTTATGTAAAGCTATCACTGCAATACGGTTCTCTGCCTTGCCCCACTCCATCGTTATGCTTCGAGAGATCAATACAAACTGAGGTATATGTAATTACCCGAAAAGCGCTTAATCAACTGACACCACAATGTAAACAATCGGACAAGTATTAACAGGTCTACACTTGTTTGAAAACGAGGGACAGAACTTATGGCATGACTATGTATATTACAGGTAACCGAATTCTTTCATTATGGCCAGTGTTTAGTCAGAGCATGTGAAACCCGCGAACAACGTACGGGACCTCGGTTGGCCGCGTGGGTCAGAGTGTCGTGCTACTGATCAGCCGGCCGGCCGGGCCGCGAGTTCGAATCTCGCCTTCGCCATGGATGTTGTGTGTTTGTCTTAGGCAGCAGCGGTGGCCGTAGTAGTAGACTCTTCGGTCTCCTGATCAGCCGCCGTGCGCTGTGCGGGTTCGAGTCCCGTCCCAGGAGAAATGTTTCTCTTGGCCATGGATGTTGTGATTGTCCGTAGGTGGTAGATGGTCTCTGACTGTCGAACGCGGAGGTATCACCCGGCGGTTCTCGTAGGCGGAGCCAGAATGTGTGCATGTTGCATGCACACGTGTTCCCTCGCCAGAGTCCATGTGGCGTCCCCCCTTTCCCATGTATCCCCCATAGCCCCATGGTACCCAATGGGTGCTTAGGCCTTAGGCCTTCGTGGTAGTTGGAGTATATAAAAAAAAAGAAACGTGGATGACTCAAAGGTATACCGAGAACGGCACTGTTATAAGTATGAATTTATTTCTTTTTTGAGGACCGTATGTACTGCACGGCTTAAAATTATTCGTTCGTTATTTGCTGCATAATATATCCTGTGTTTTAAGTTCAAGGCTTTATTTAGTGGTAATACGTGGATCTAGAATTTTTTGAGGCTTTTACTTTTTTCCTGACCTACGAAAAATTCTGATAATTCCGTAGGTACTTACGTTAGAAATGTTAAATTCTAGTGATGGCTGCATCTTGAATAGAGCTCTACTACAGACCCTTTATATAAATTATTCTCATTTCTTAAATTAACTGACAGTTGCCAAGTTTGAACATATACACGCAAATGTATCTTTTTCCTTGTATTTGAATACCGTGTAATGTTACATTAATAGATTATATCCACCTTCAGAAATATTTGGCCTACTTATCCCGCACCGAATAGCACTTTCCAAGCTAAAACTCCAACGATAAAGAAAACTTTCTAATATGAGCATCGAAGACCTCTGAAATTGCAAAACCGGCGAATAACTCGTTAAGCTTATTCCCACTCTTGAATTTATCAGATATATGGTTGATCAAAGCGTATAATATGATAAATGCTGTTTTTAAAGTGTGTTGTGCCCACCCCGAAAAAGGCTCGTAGTATAGCCGAAAGTACTTTTGGTGGTTACCGATTTTGAAGAGATGTTTCCTAGTACCAACTGCTTGGCTGAAATGCTCTGTATGCAGGTCATTTTCAACGACAGAAATACTGCAGGCAAAATTATAATTTGAAATTTACTTCTATAAGTCAAGCGAACCACGTCAAAACAACGGCTACAATATTTGAAGTAGTTATATTTATTTTTTCTCTCATACTTGGGCAAACATTGTCATAAATCGTGTGCCAACAATATTCATTCACCATTTGGAGATAGGCGGGCCATGGTTTAAAAGTCACAATCATGGGGAGTCACGACCGTAGAATTAACAAGATAGTAAAAAATGGTCGCAGTTCGAGATCGGCAAAACAAATAAACAAAGTTTTTGACCCATTTCTCAAAGAATATGAATCAATCTGAAATCATAATAACAATTCGGTTAAATTTTTTCCTTGTCACTAAAAATAAGAATAACCACACTTTAATAGGTCACAGTGCATAGATGCTGAAGTTATCACATACATCTTAATAATTCTGGTCTAGTCCGAGTATGATTCTAATATTGTAGTCAACAGGGAACTTTTGGACCTACTAAATTATTAAGTTGTTTTGATTATCCTTGTTTTAGACCCATCTATTCGGATAATAATGAGAGTGTATGTGCTAAACCCATGCCTGTTTCGAATTGGAATGTAACGTGAACTTTAAATTGCAATTACCAAGAGTTTATCTCAATAGCTGTGCATGGCCGAAAAATAGCTGAGGTATGTGGTGTACATTTCGCACTGACAGGAATCTATCTGAGTTACACCTCACATCAGAGCACCGGTACTGACCATCTTAGCAACTATTAATTTTATGAACCCGGATAGAACGAAGTGAAAGCAAGCATCCGGTGTAAATATATTCGGCCAAAGGCTAACAGTACATACAGTACAACTTCAAATCCAGCTATTCCGAGTACCTTTAAAAATTCGAGATCACTTTATGTAGAAACTAACGTCGCTTATGCTTACCCATCTTGCCTAGTCCTTAAGCTACAAATAGACAACGTTGGGGAGCCAGCCTTCTCGGATCGGACGCTGAAGATGCTTGGCGTTGAACACGGGACGGCTTCATAGGACGCGGCCATCATATAATCAGAGCCGCAATAGAAGGGGTTTTTGGGGTTTTGCGCAGCTAGCGCAGCTGCTGCAGCTGCTTCTGCAGACTCAACATGTTGCACTGCAGCGCTGTACGCCAATCGGCCTGTCACGGTCGTGAAAGGCTCGTTGCATGTCGTTACTTCGATTGTGTGCCTTCGTCTGGGGGAGGTGGGGGTTCGGATACCTGGAAAAAAGGAAACTCATGCAGACTAATGCTTTGTAATACATACTTCTTCCTAAACTATTGATGACATGGAAGACAATGCAAGAGGTGATCTTTTGGACTATTTGAGCAGCTCTTACAAAAATTGACACAGTATGGTAACTCCTTTTATAAGGTCAGGAAGGCGTAAAATAAACGTTTGGCCTTAATTACTGAAGGTAAGTAAAAATTTCCTCTTTATTTTTCCAAGGTTATGAAGTGGTCGTATTTTATTTGTGAAGACTGTGGGCTTTCGTTCTACCTTAACATAGATATCGTTGCTACTTTCATTTTAGATTTGGAAACACTCAGTATCAAAAATCCTATTCCACATTTTTGGGAACGTTGTATTATGCCATCGCAGTACCGAAAAACGATTCACGTCACTAATTAGTGGAACTATTGAACGTGGGAGTTTACAGCAAGTCTAGTTTTTATTACTGGTGCTAAAACTCCAATAAACGTGCACTCATAATGAGACGAAGCGATGCAAAGGAAATTGCAGCAGCATATGTCATTTGTACGTATTAAACTAGTTTCGCACCGCTCACGTTTGTAACGGAACCCAGGTGAAAGATTTTGCTTCTTTTCTATCCGCTTCTGTTCCTCTCCAGAGTCATTCACTGGCGGAGAGCTAATTTGGTCTACGTCTCACATTCACCCGATTTAAGCAAACCTGGCTCTTTCGATCGAGACATTTGAATGAATAAAATCATCTAAGAAACACTGCCCAACTGAAAGACATTTGTAACGAAATATCTATCATAGAGCCCAAAAGCTTACGAAAAGTTATGGGAACCGCTTGCACCATACCATGAGGACGTCTTGATCTATAAAAATTGGTCAAAATAAGTATTAGAATGCAAAACTCCAGTTTGCTTGTTATAGATTCTCCAAAGATACATCAATGTATCTTCTCCTTTTTTACTGAGTTATAAAGAAATTGAAACTCTTTCAGTAGGTCGGCTTTATATTATTCTATACAATATATATATATATATATATATATATATATATATATATATACTTTGAAGTTGAGTCATTAATTTTCAGATAATGATTGTAGAAGGAAGATAAACCAAAATATGTGTATAAAAATAAAAAAAAATTAAAAAAAAAATTTACCTTGTTTTATAAAGTATCCTCCCGACAAGTATTTCAGTGCGGACCTGTATTTGATCGTGAGGTCTTGGAGCACCGGCATACCGTCACTTGATTCACGAGCCCGTTGTACTTCATTAACAAAGGCACGAGGGTTGGTTGCACTCGATTGGGAAACCGATCCGCATAAACATGTGCCATTTTTTATTTCGTTTGAGCCACGCAACATACACCACCATTCACTGACACTGACTGTATACAAATGAATAAAATAATTGTAAAAACATCGTTCCAAATTCTTTCGCTTTTTTGTTTCCGATGCGATGAACTGATCGGCGGATTATATCCGTTGTCGCCAAACACGAGCACATAATATTATTATTGAGACAGGGCGGTACTCAAACTTCCAAAGGGCTATAACTTTGTTACTTTAATTTTACCAGAAAAATGGTAAAGGAAAAAAACATTTCTTTCGATCAGATCTACTCACTGTTAAAATAAATGACTCAACTTCGAAGTCACCCTGTATATATATATAGTTGAGTCATTTATTTTAACAGTGAGTAGATCTGATCAAAATAAATGTTTTTTTCCTTTACCATTTTTCTGGTAAAATTAAAGTAACAAAGTTATAGCCCTTTGGAAGTTTGAGTACCGCCCTGTCTCAATAATAATATGTTCGTGTTTGGCGACAACGGATATAATCCGCCTGACCGGTTCATCGCATCGGAAACAAAAAAGCGAAAGAATTTGAAACGTTTATCACGATGTTTTTCGTCAGTCGATAACGCGTTAGTGAATAGTAATGTTTGTTGCGTGGCTCAAACGAAATCAAAAATGGCACATGTTTACGAAAATGCTGAACTTGTGGACATGATTCTTATTTACGGGGGGGCAGTCTTTACAAAATGCTCCCGGATACATCACGGATTTATGCGAATCGGTTTCCCAATCGAGTGCAACCAACCCCTCGTGCCTTTGTTAATGTAGTACAAAGGGCTCGTGAATCAGGTGACTTAAGACCTCACAGGTCAGGGCATGCTGCTCCAAGACCGCACGATCAAATACAGGTCCGCACTGAAATACTTGTCGGGACGATACTTTATTAAACAAGGTAACATTTTTTTTTTTATTTTTTTTTATTTTTACACACATATTTTGGTTTATCTTCCTTCTACAATCATTATCTGAAAATTAATGACTCAACTTCAAAGTATATATATAGGTGAAAAATTAAAGTTTCCGCCTTTTGTTGGGTACTTCGACAAAATTTAATCAAAGAGGACTCTTTATACTTTTTTTAATTCTCTCTAGCTTTCAATGGACTTTGCCATCATCCTCAGGAGCTGCAATTACAATGATAACAGTAGCAACAAAAGTGTAAAATGAATTTAAATTGAATCAACTTACAGTAGTATGTGAGGATGTTGCTAATTGTTGTTTTCGTATAGGATGAGGGAAACGTAAAAAGTATAAAGAGTCCTCTTTGCTTAAATTTTGTCGAAGTACCCAACAAAAGGCGGAAGCTTTAATTTTTCACCTAACTGGTTTAGACGACAATGACCACGTCTCAAGTTATATATATATATATATAAAATATGGTCTCTTCTCCTTTTTTACTGAGTTAGGTCCAGTAACTGGATGTGACTCAATATTTCACAAAATTACCCTGTTCTATAAGAAAGGGTTCAACTGTATTAATAGAAAAAAGTAGCCAATCATGTTTAGCCTGAAGATACTTTGTGTGTGATTCTTGTTAAGGGAACTACTATTTTCGGAAGTTAGTCTTAGTATTTTTAGGAGGCAATTTATCATGTGATCAAATAAGCAAGGCGGAAGGATCACCCTTTTCATGACTCATATTTTGGAAACAGCCTGTATACAGGGTGATTCACAAGTCGTGACCAAAAATGGAACACCATACACTGGACCGTATTTTAAGGGGGATCTCATATGTAACATTTTTCCCTCGAGGGCTTCATGAAAAAGATACGGGGTGTTGAAGTGTAAAAATTAAAACAATGTTTTTTGATGTGTTCAAAACCCTCAGCTGAAATGAACTAAAATTTGGTACGTGGATTGACGTAAGTATTGTCCTCACTCAAAGGTATTTGTTTAAGATTAAAATGCATCAGTGGCGGAGATAAAGGGGATTAATGGCATTATTTTTCTAGATAAAAATAGTATGCCACTGTTTTTTTTTAAATGCGTAGTTTTTCGAATTTTACCTTCAATTTGCTACTAATAACTACTCTAGTGTTTTTTCCTACAGTGCATTGTTTTCGTAAAAATAAGAAAAAAAAACAAACTAAATAATATATTTCAATAAATGTTCAACAGGACCACCATTCTGACGGATACAAGTGCGGCATCTTTTTAATAAAGAAAAACGTATTTCCGCATAGGTTGTTGTGGATTGAATTTGATGACACGCTTTATCTATTCTTTCTTGCAACTGATCAACACTATTAATTTGTTCAGCATACATTAGTTGTTTAAGAGCGCCACACAAAAAGAAATTCATGGGGTTCAAATCAGGAGACCTCGCAGGCCAATGTACGGGTACGTTTCGGCCAATCCATCGTTATCTAAAATGATTATTTGACCATGCGGTCGGTCACCGTCGTGCTTAAACCACATTCGTACTCTCGTTGCTAACGGAACATCATCTAACACATTTTCTGTGTAATTCTCTAGAAAAGCTAAGTATGAGTTTGCATTTAAACGTTTTTACAATACGTACATAAACAGCTGGCCATTGGAAATGCCACACCAGAAGTTTCTAGAAAATCTGCGTTGAAACGAGTAGATTCTTACAAAACGGGGATTTCCTAAGGACCAAAGTTCATTATGAGAGGTTTCACTCCTCGTAATAAAATCTGCATTTTGATTATGCATTGCACATTTTGCCGAAGGTAAGGATCTTAAGCTTGCCGATTTGAAACCCTCCACGAAAGACTTTGGGAACGTGGTGACTGGGCTGAAATCCTAGTACTTGTACTAGGATTGTCCAACGACAAATTAATCACTTCCAGTTCCTCTTGAACAGTATGCCGGACACCATGGCCCTCTAACTCCAGGAAGTTTGGAAATTCCATAACACAAGTGTAATTGTTTGTAGAAAATTGAAGGTATAATTCGAAAAACTGCGCGTTTTCAGGCAAAAACAGTTTCGTACTATTTTTATTTGGAATAATAATGCCACCAATCCCCTGTACCTCCGCCACTGGTGCACGTTACATTTTAGAAAAGACTTTTGAATGTGGACAGCACTTAGGTAAATCCACATACCAAATTTTAGTTCATTACATTTGACGGTTTTAAAGATATTAAATAAAAGTTTTTTATTTTCAAACTTCAATCTTTTTAATGATAAAATTATATAGAAGACATCCCTTAAAATGCGGTCCTGTATATGAGGCTTCATTTTTGGTCACGACTTGTGAATCACCCTGTATACAACTGTGACTACAACCTGCTATTATCATCTGAAATATAGTGTCAATAGGTATGTTATCGAGAATATATCAATACGCACAAAACTTCAAGCACATTAACGAAACAGTATACCTCCATGGCGTGTTATAGACTCTCTTGGGTTTAAGGTCAAAGTAATTTCTGTTACTATCATGAAAAGGTCCATGTGTCACTTATTCATATAATTCGATATTCTTACTTTAAACTACTCCCTCAAGTTACTTGACAAGAAACTCAATATTCATCACTATATTATTCCCGTAGATAATAATTGTAGGATGACTCAAGAAACATGGAAACTTTGCGTCAAGAAATGGAAACTATCACATAATATATTTCCTGAGAATCGTTTGAAAGTCGTTTCTGTTGTCCAATTGCTCAGTCTATTTACAAAGCTCTCTCGCCATATGGCCGTGTTACGTTAAGCCTTTGCCATATTGCCTAAGGGTTGCAATGAAATATAATTGGAAACAGTTATTTTTCCTGATTAAGAAAGACATCAGTTGACGTTTTTGATATGATTGTGATCTTTTGCAAGGCCACACCTCTAATGTTACCTAAAAGTCGTTGTGTTTATCACTTGCTGACCCATCAACTCGGCATAAATATAGTAATTATGGACTATCAATTACGGCCTATAATGACAAACACGTAACTGAAAAACATACACGGCTGTTAAGTGCATCACTGTAAGAATTACGTTAGTTGATTATCCTGTAGTCGTAAGACGCGGTAATATACTAAGTGACATATAAATCCGAACACCCAGTTTAAATGGTTTTATTTTAATAAAAGTTGGTGAATGTATTTATCTTACTGTAAATAACAAGTAAAAAAATTTTCAGCCTTATCAGTTGGACATTCCGGTCTTTATACTGCTTTTTTTTTAATTCACTAACGCTTTAAAAATGAATATTTCAGCCGCAGTAAAGAATCAACGTTGGCGGATTTTGGTTCTTGACATCCTTTACGATCGGTTACGATTCCTAGAGTGCGGAGACCTGTACGATTTCGTCAACTTAGTGAGTTTGATAGGGGCCGTATAGTGGGACTTCGGGAAGCTGGACTTTCTTTTCGGGCAATTGCAGTTAGAGTGCAAAGAAGTGTAGACACTGTGGTTAGGTGTTGTCAGGCATGGCTTCGAGAAGGCCGTACGCAAAGAGCAAGGGGCACTGGACGCCGCCGTAGAACAACAGACCGTGAAGATCGCCGCCTAAGATTATTGGCCTTAAGGGACCGTTTCTCCACTACCAGGTCCATTGCAAATGAATGGTTTGCAGAACACGGAAGACCTATTGGCATGCGAAGTGTTTACCGACGAATGAGAAGTTTTGGCTTGTTTTCATACCGGCCACACTGGGTCCTCCCTTTAACTCGAGAACACCGACGTAATCGCCTTGAGTGGTGCAGACAACGGTCACTCTGGGATTAGGAATGGAACAGTATTGTCTTTAGTGACGCGTCTCGATTTTGTTTAGGCATGCACGATGGTCGTGCCAGGGTTAGAAGGCGACGTGGTGAAAGGAGGAATCCACAGTTTTTTGTTGAAAGACATGTTCATTACACTGTTGGAGTTATGGTTTGGGGTGCTATAGGTTATGGTTCCAGGTCACCTTTAGTGTTCATCAGAGGTAACATGAACGCGCAGCGTTATATCCACGAAGTTCTAGAACCCCATCGTTTACCCTATCTTGACACCCTGGCAGATCCAACTTTCCAACAAGATAATGCCCGACCACATGTTGCAAGAGTCACAATAGACTTCTTTCAACATAATGATGTCACATTGTTACCATGGCCACCAAGATCTCCCGACTTATCCCCAATTGAGCACGTGTGGGATATGATGGGTAGGAGATTGCTCAATTTGCAACGTCCTCCTCATACTCTAGAAGCACTTCGAGAGGAGTTGTTGGTTGCCTGGAATGAGATACTACAGGAGGACATTGACCACCTGATCAGAAGCATGCCTAGGCGCGTTGGAGAATGCGTAGCACATCAGGGTGCATTCACACATTATTAAAGGTCAAAGGGCTTTAAATCAGTGCAATCATTTTGAAATTTTTATCATTTACTTATTATGCTTCATTAAGTACTTATTCAAAATTTTATTAAAATAAAACCATTTAAACTGGGTGTTCGGATTTATATGTCACTTAGTATATATTAAAGCGTTTGTCTAAGTCCGAGGGAAAGTCTCTTATAAAATAGAATGTTCGTGTGTACACCGTGGATACTAATGTGCATCAATACACGTCTGTTTGAATGGGCTGCTGTTAAGGCGCGGAACAGCAGAGTCTGTGATTAGTTACCTACGGTATAAAAAAAGCTAGCAGGGTGAGGTGTTTCAGCTTCTACACTGCATATGGCAGAAATAATTTTTGTGTTTGACCAACGCCACGTCAGGTCACTTTCCTTACCTGTTGCACATGGCTGCTCATCTTTCTGGCCTAAGTGGCATGTTATATGAACCCTAATAGCAACGCAGATGTCAAAGCGCATTTTTGATATTATACGAACGCTGAATGCACAGTGCTTGCAAAGCACTACTAAGGTGGGCCTATAAGCACCTTTGGACAGTCACTGCGATGACGCTTTGACTCGACAGACTACGATACCATTATCAGAAACGTTACGCCGCCGCTATGCTGTGAGGTTCCAAAATCACGTAATCTTTTTTTTACTATTTTGATCACTTACCAGTAATTTTAATTTCTCTTTTTTGATTACAGAACACCGATTCCTAGGCCAAACCCTTTTTAATGACCTTCTTTTGGTAAGTTTTATAGTTCATTGATTGTATAATTTCACACGCATTATATCTTTCTTTCTGAACGACTCAGTATTGCGTTGAAGTCTTTTGGACACTAGTGTTATAGTATTATTAATGACTATCTCAGAAATTTCCTCATAAAACATTGCTGGTCGCTGGTAGACAGCTGGCTCTGCCCATTGGCAACCAGCGCGCCACCTTGTGATTTCCAAACATTCTAGCCGATTATGAATATTTGCTTTCCTATCAAGATACCTTCTTTACCTATCCAGATACCTTCTTTTCCTATCAAGATACCTTGTTTTAAAAATTTACGTGTGTAGACGCGTCTAGCCGCATTTTCTTTTTAGTTCTGCTGAGGTTTTGTTGTGTGTGGGTGCTGTTTCGTTAACTTCAATATTCTGGGATATTAACGATCCAAACACCGGTTTATCGAGCAGTACCCTTTTATTTTGTACCTTACGTTTAGTTGTTTTGTTTTGGGTGCTACCCCGTCCATTTTCTAGTGGGATTTCAACCTCCAGCTTGGAAAGGCGTTGCGGAGAATCACCATTCACACTCCTTCAGCTTTCTTTTGTACTCGTAGATGATGTGAACAGGTCTTTTTTATACCGTAAATTTTGGAAAACGAGGCAAGCCCCTACCTTGTGACGTTCATCTCGTCACTGCCCACTGCTGGCCACTGGTTATTGACCTGAGCGCTTGTGAGCTAAGGATATCTCAGCTGCGCCTAGAGCTGTAACTACTATCCAGATAAGTTTAGGTTTAGGCGTTAAAATATTTGTAAAGCCTTCATACGTGTAGCATGTTAATCGTTTTGCAGGGTTAATTATCTCGGTCTAATGATTTTATTGTCAGGCAGTTTTGAATAATATCTTTTCTTTTAACTTGTACTCCAGTGGTGGAGCATATGTGCTGCTTGTTTTGATATATACTCGTATTTTGAATGTATACTCGTGTAGGTGGTCAGGTAAAACAAGTTCCTATTAATATCTCGGGGATTTGTGGCTTAATCCGCCTTAAGTCACTCCCATACTCTCTGCTTTATTGAGATAGAGCCTAAATTTGCACGCCACTAAACAGCTGTTTTGCATAGGCTAACCCTTAGATTTCATATATTGTGTGACAATACGTCGATGTGACAGAAAACGGTGCCGTGCAGGATCAAAACATGGGCCGAAATTAACCAAATCCTATACCATATCATATCCAAATAGTATTCACGCAATTCGCACCCTTATAGTGTCTTACTAGATACTACCGCGATAGAGAGCAATTGCTTATATCTTTTGTCGTGGTCCTGTTGGACAAAGCTATAAAAGGTAAAATTATTGTTTGGCGGTGGCTAGTTTCACGCAGTTAGAAACGAAACCGTGCGATGGCGCATCAACAATGTTGCAATATTGGGGAGATATTTGAGATATTGGTACCTTTCGAGAAATTTTTGGAAAGCACTGTTTTCTGAGGGATGAATTTGAAAGTAATTGAAACCTGGGTCTTTTTTGAGTACGAGATTTCGGTTTAACCGTGTGAAACTACCCACTGCTAACCAACAACTTCAACTCATAACTTTATTCAATAACGACCACAAAACATACAAGCGACTGCCTTCGATCGGGATTGTAAGACAAGATTACAGCTTGAGGACTGCGTTAATACCATTTCAATATGGTGTAATATAATTATGCCTTGACTGTGTTCGACCCACCTGGGAACGTATCCAAGCACTTAGGCACATGTGTCTCTGTCGTGCTATAAAACCGTTAGCCTCCTATGCTATAAACATGGCCAGTGACATCTTCATTCTTGGGAAAAGTATTTGACAACATTCCAGACATTCCTGACGACTAACAGGGCAAACAAGGCATCTTGTATCCAACACTTTAAGCTCTACGCAGCTTTCGTTTAAGATTTAACCAAATGGTACAAAAAGAGAATTCATACATCTCTTGACTTACCTCCCGCCAAGGTCTCTGCAACTTCATTGTCCGTATCCGTTACAGATAACCTAGAACTAGGTCTTGTCGAATAAGAGGAGGCAGCTGCAGTGCTAGCACTTTTCGACAGCAGGCAGGGTAAATCAGATTTGAGCATGAGCAGGTCATCTTTGCTCCTAATGTCACTCGTAAATGTCCAGTTGTCCTCCGTCGTTTCTTCCTTTTTGTCTTCGTTAACGGACATCGGTGATTCTAGCAGCTTCCTTTGAAGCTGCTTGATGCTCACAGAGTCTTGATGCAGCTTATTGCTCAGTCTATCTAATTCGTTCAGTTTCTCTATCGTCACTTGATCGATCTGATCGATCTTGGATAGTTGCGCGATGTCTTGTTCGCTGACGCAAGGCGAATTTCCTCGATAGTCCTTGTAGTCCAAAGCACTGTAACAAGAATGAAGCAACTATATACATTTATTCTTATACTGAAGCAGACGAATATGAAGAAGCATAAATACCGGGATACGATAATTGCTGCAAGAAATTTTCGAACTGCCTAAGGTTGGCAGAGCTAGAAGAAACCTCCTTGAGCAGATTGTTCCACCACAATCATGATACCGTAGGAACGAAGGAGTGGTCAAGTGTCTCTGACTAGCTCAATGCGAGGCGGCATCATGGATGAGAGCCCTGAGAAGCAAAGCCAATTGACACATCCAATCCAAATTAGTCTGTCGTTTGTAGTTCATTCATTCACTCGACTGATCTGAGTAGCTTTGGCAGAGCTCTTATCTCAAAGCTTCAGGTCTCACAAAAGTTACTAGCAAGCATAATATCCTTTCCGTATGATTTTGGACTTTGCTTACACAAAACTACAATGGTCGCTGACTGTAGAACAACAAAATAAAGCCAGAAATTAAAAAAATCAACCAAGGTATTGATAGTAATCTTTCTGTGATGTTATAGATGATGCTACAGGTTTGCCCAGATTTATCCGAAAAGAAGTGACCTTTATTGGGAGTCTAAGATAGATTTTCCTCGAGCTACAATAATATAGGTTACTAACCGACCCTAAAGATGGCAATCAATCTAGTTACCCACAAGATGTGAAAATCCTCAATAAAACTGAGGCTATTAAGACCGTAATAAATTTGACGTTAGTGAACACATCTGGAGGGACATTGAACTCTATGGTATTTTGAATTAAACAATAGTTTTTTCTATGTTCAAAAATCATAGGAAAGATAATGAAAGAAGAAGTACATTCAAAACGTATAAATTCGATATTCATATAGGATGTTACACAAAACAGATAGAAATAAAAGACAGTAGTGCAATTTTAACATTCAGAAATGCAGAGAAAGGGGTTACCTACCTATATATTTCTCCTTCCACATCCTTGCATTCTCCCTTCCTCTCCGAGTTCTCTTCCATCTCTTCCCGCTCCTCCCAAATCATGTCCAGCTGACTGGCCTGACAAGATGGATCCAGGTCTTCCCGATATGCTTGGTTAAGGCTCTTGTAGAATGCCTCATCTGGCATGTTCATTTCATCCAGCTCCTGGATATCTGGTTGGGCGACATCCAGGCCTTCCTCCAGTCCATCTTCCACAGCTCCGTTGCCCAGGATCTCTCTGATCACCTCCAGCTCACCCAGCCGACCTTCTAGCATAGCCACGGTGGCTTGCGCTGAGTGTTGAGTACCCCCTGGAAGCAAACGAAAGTTTAGTTACTTCTTGAAAACGTACTTTAAGTCAGTGTAAGTAGTAGGAAACCAATTTTTGTTACGTTTATTGTGTAGTCTAGGTTTCAACTTTTATTTTGTCTTCTGTGATTTGGTGAGAAGAAGAAGGAATACCATTGCGGTTGTGCCGGTTTTAATGAAAGTATTGAACACAGCATTTTTCCGTTACGTTAAAAGTTATCATTTTGAAAATTACGGGACGTGAATAGGATTGGGAATAAGCAACCTTAAATTCTACAGAGCTTAAAATACAGTGGTTACTTTTACTGGAACTGAGCCCAACTCGAGAATATCAAATAGCACATTGAATATTTTTATAGACAGATAGACGGTCATCAATGTTCTATTTAATGGTATGTCACGAAGTGACATATGTTTTCAAAATGGAGCCGCAGAATTTTTGTGACAAAGTCTTTATGGATGTGAGAGGCAGCTATCAATTTCTGTACTGAACCTTTTCCAGTTATGAGCTAGGAGGGATTCATTGACAAGTTTTTACTCTAAACCAGTACGTTGTTTTTGATTTCAGTAAAAAATTCTGAATACAAGTCCATTGGCAGAAAGTCTCAGAACATAAATAAAATGGATATTGATATAAGCCAGGATAACTGAAGCGTCCCTGATTTTTCAGTGTGTGTGATTTTAGATATTAGCCAGAATACGTACAAAAGGGCCTGAGAAACCACCGACAAAAGTTGAACTTCTTAAAATTGGAAACAATATATCAACATCTTGACGGAGGAGCTGCAACGTAATGTAGCACAAAATTCATTGGGGTCGAGCAGTAATTTATGGAGGTCATCCGGATGTATTTACTTCAACATGAACTGTTTTAATTATTTGCCCGGGTTGCTGTAAATTTTTCTCGGAATACTTTTTTTTCCAGGCATTTTATTTCTCTGAAGTTTTGTGTTCAGTGGTTTAGGGGTTTTCCAGATGAAGATCACAAATCAGACGGTAGGAGGATTTACTGCTTCCAAATATTTGGTGCTTAGCTCCATCATCATTTCTTGAAGTCAAAATACCGGTTAGAACAGTATAATTGAAATTCAGTGAAGTTCCTTTAAGGAGTTGATAATTAAATTAGATGAATAAATCGGCAACTACCCTACTGACTAGTCGAAAAATGAAGTAGAATTCATATCCGATTACGATGGGCTTTTCAACAAAAAGTAGATATTCTTAGTTACATAGTTATTGTTTATCAAGGTGCTTCCCTTCTGACAAAAGTACACAGTCCTTCCCTCAAAGAGGTTTTTCTTTACCCGGGTGCCACTGCGTCACTAGAATCCGTAGCCAAGCGAACCTGCTTAAATATATGGCAGTTCTCTAATGATCTAAGCGTCAACGACTCTCGACCCTGCGTGATCCCTACGTGATCGAGGATGTTGATAAGAATGGTGAGTGTGTAGCAGTCCTATTGTGGAACATCAGTATTCAAAAACTTTTTTCCAATAGAATATAAAACGTTTCTTCTATGAATAAATAACACCTTGTAGGTACACGTATATACTCCCTCCACAACTGACACAAAAGCCGTATCTCACAGCAGCTGCATTTTGGTTGGTACGTAGGTTAAAACTATCACAATTACGACGACTTTATAATATGTAAATGATTAATTGAGGAACTTCTCAACATTTTTCCTAACATCCCCACGTAGGGCCGCATCGTTGGAGCTTAGGCTATAAGGTATACTAGAGATACGAGGCTGAAATCATAGAGTGGGGGTGAAGCAAGAAATGTCGACGATGAAGTGAGTTGGTACACTATGCAGCAAATGAATTTCAAGTGGCATGTTTCTATGTTGCGGTCATCATGACTGTAAACAACTCAAATTGTGACAGTTCAAACGAGTTGCAAGTTGGACGATATTAACACATCACAAAGTAATAAAACTTCAAAACAAAGCAAAACGTAGGTGAATTGCACATAAAGATTGCGGCAGGTTAATTTGACATTTTTCAATGCGCAGAGGCTCTGCGCCATGTTCTTGGCTTCATACTAATACATGTATATTTTACCCCCTATCTCTAGTGTTGGTGCTACTGCCATTGAATATTGGACTACAAGGTGGTGTCGGTTTTGTGTTGTGGCTAAAATTGAGCAACGCGTCGTCAGTTCAAAACGATGGTATGTAGCCGTGGAGTCTTGGTGAGGCAGGAACCGAGATACGATATGGTAAATATCGCTATCTCAACAATTCTAATGCAATCTCCAAATTACCAGCTAAGAAACAGGTAGACAAAGGATTTTACCTCTGATAAGTCATTGGACACGGTTACACCACCTGCACTAGTGGTGCAACAAGCTCCGAAATAGTGCATAGCGAACAATGCACCCCAGGGACTGAAAGGCGTTAGTATATTATTTTTATTTCCAATTAAAGCAGTAAAAACCCAAGTCGGACAAAATGTTGATAACATTTAGAATTTCATCTATCAGCGAACTTGCCGGCACATAAACGTTATATGCCATCGAAGTATTAGCTTTCATTGTTTCAATTGTTGAAGTCAGGTTTGTAATATATACTAAGTGACATAAAATCCGAACACCCAGTTTAAATGGTTTTATTTTAATAAATTTTGTATAAGTACTTAATGAAGCATAATAAGTAAATGATAAAAATTTCAAAATGATTGCACTGCTTTAAAGCCCTTTGACCTTTAATAATGTGTGGATGCACCCTGATGTGCTACGCATCCTCCAGCGCGCCTAGGCATGCTTCTGATCAGGTGGTCAATGTCCTCCTGTGGTATCTCATTCCAGGCAACCACCAACTCCTCGCGAAGTGCTTCTAGAGTCTGAGGAGGACATTGCAAATTGAGCAATCTCCTACCCATCATATCCGACACGTGCTCAATTGGGGATAAGTCGGGAGATCTTGGTGGCCATGGTAACAATGTGACATCATTATGTTGACTATTGTGACTCGTGCAACATGTGGTCGGGCATTATCTTGTTGGAAAGTTGGATCTGCCAGGGTGTCAAGATAGGGTAAAAGATGGGGTTCTAGAACTTCGTGGATATAACGCTGCGCGTTCATGTTACCTCTGATGAAGATTAAAGGTGACCTGGAACCATAAGCTATAGCACCCCAAACCATAGCTTCAACAGTGTGATGAACATGTCTTTCAACAAAAAACTTCTCCTTTCACCACGTCGCCTTCTAACCCTGGCACGACCATCGTGCATGCCTTAACAAAATCGAGACTCGTCACTAAAGACAATACTGTTCCATTCCTGATCCCAGAGTGACCGTTGTCTGCACCACTCAAGGCGATTACGTCGGTGTTCTCGAGTTAAAGGGAGGACCCAGTGCGGCCGGTATGAAAACAAGCCAAAACTTCTCATTCGTCGGTAAACACTTCGCATGCCAATAGGTCTTTCGTGTTCTGCAAACCATTCATTTGCAATGGACCTGGTAGTGGAGAAACGGTCCCTTAAGGCCAATAATCTTAGGCCGCGATCTTCACGGTCTGTTGTTCTACGGCGGCGTCCAGTGCCCCTTGCTCTTTGCGTACGGCCTTCTCGAAGCCATGCCTGACAACACCTAACCACAGTGTCTACACTTCTTTGCACTCTAACTGCAATTGCCCGAAAAGAAAGTCCAGCTTCCCGAAGTCCCAGTATACGGCCCCTATCAAACTCACTAAGTTGACGAAATCGTACAGGTCTCCGTACTCTAGGCATCGTAACCGATCGTAAAGGATGTCAAGAACCAAAATCCGCAACGTTGATTCTTTACTGCGGCTGAAATATTGTGAATTAAGAAAAAGCAGTATAAAAACCGGAATGTCCAACTGATAAGACTGAAAATTTTTTCACTTGTTATTTACAGTAAGATAAATACATTCACCAACTTTTATTAAAATAAAACCATTTAAACTGGGTGTTCGGATTTATATGTCACTTAATATAATTGTATAGATATAGTCTAATCATATTAGGTGAAAATACCCCTGGTTTACGAAATAGTTGTAAATTCTGGTCTTAAGTTGTTCAAGAGATATTTAAAACATGGACGCATTAAATGGGTACACAATTTTTGTGGGAGAACTTTTTATGCGGCTACATGGAATGAGAACGCGTGCTTTTTGGGATTCAATGGAAAGTGTTGGCTGAGTTGAGAGAACTCTCTAGGTATTTATGAGACCTGCAGAATGAGATGACAATTAAACAAATCCCAATAGTGTTAAAAAAGTTATAGCCGAAAACTGAGGCAAATGCAGGTTCTGGCACTTGTTGGGAATGTGACGATAATTTCACGCAGCTACTTGAAATTCTTCAAATCTGTAGGTTTAGTACTTCTAAGTAACCACAACAAAATTGGAGTCGATAGGTCAAGTAGTTTTTGCGATTCTGCAATCGTTACTCCTTTTCCCATCACACTACGACGCCTCCTGGTTTACTGGATCTTTATACCACTTCAGTTGACACTGACAAATGTCGAGCGAACGTTGAGAGCATATCAAATTTATTATAATCATTTATAATACTCTTGAAAACTACACAAGATACATTTTGCCTAATTTTTCAGACGTTCAGTTCGTTACAATTGCTTGACATTTGTCTATTGTGTTCTCGTTTTCTCTTTCCAACATTTTGACGTTTTAATAATTTTTAGCCTTTGTTTCCGGGCATAACTTTTTTATCATTGGTCGGATATTTTTACGTGTGGCCTCATACTGTAGGTCTCATAATCACCTGAAAATCTCATTTTGTCAATTGAATCCCAAAAAGCACGTTTTCTCATTCTTCGTTGTCAAATGAAAAGTTTTCCCAAAAAAATTAGGGTACCAATTTTATGCGTTCAGGTTTTAAATACCACCTTGAACAACTTGTATCAATAAAATCAGACTTTACAATTATTTCGGGTAAATTTGCCAATATGAATAGACTATTGCAGTTTTGTACCTGTTTCGCTTAGGACTAGAAGGACTACGCCCCAGTAGTCATTGTGAAAAGTGTAAATGAAACTCAATGTACCTACCTCCCGTCGTATAAAAATCGAGCAGCTGCGAAATGACGCTCTGCTGCTCGTACAGCAACCCCTCCAGCTTCTCCAGCCTCTCCCACATCTTGATGTACTCCTGGGAGAGTAAATCCAGCGCCCGCCAGGCGTACTTCAGCTCCGTCTCGAGTATGTTCAGCCTTGTCCCCAGTCGTTCCATGTACTCGCTGATCACGTAGTCGGCGGCCATGTTGGGCTCACCGTTCGCCGATTGGTGAGCTACAGCAGGCGCCATGGCGTCGCGCGATTTGTCGCCGCTCATATCGCGTCACTAGCTTGTAGCTATCGCATGTCTGGATGTGCATGCCTCATCCTGACACCCTCAAAACATTGTCTCCCTTGCATGATATGTACTGGAAATTTGGTGGGAAGGACAAGGTTAGAATTGAGCCTTTGGGCTATAGCCATGCGAAAGTACTTTCTGTAGCTTACTTCGAATTGACCGAGGACATCTTCGATGTCTAGGTAACACATTTTTTTAATGTACCTCTAAAGCCCGTGTCACTCATTTCCATCCAAAGCTTGTCGGTTAATTTCTTTGTAACTGCACAATCCCAACAACAGTTGTACCGACCTTTGATGTTTGGAGCAGTATGCTGTGGGATCATAGTAAGTGATGCACTTACGTTTGAAAATTGATACAATGACGGTGGGGTTATGACTGGAAAACAAAAATACCACAAACCAATTTTCTTTATACTTCATGACATTTTGTTAATTTTTCGGATTGATCGAATTATTATGAAACGCTATGCTTGCATTTATCAACTATGGGATCATTTCAGGGCTTAAGTAGCATTTTCATGAGAAAACTTGAGCGTCAAGTGTCGAATGAGGTTATGTGGGCTATACATGCTTAAATGTGCAAATTTTCAGCAAAAGGGTAGCACAGAAGCCAGCGTTATATATGACGACTGTCAACACGGATGTTAAGATTCATCGTATTCCTTCAAAATGTGTATCCACGCAAACATATGCTCTTGTGATATTATGGCAATAACGTAGTATAGTTAGAGGTAGACTCGTATATCGCTAACTACAGTATATTCAGATAAGAGATAGACCGGACATAAACAAGACCACGTGATCATCGAACGCTGTAACATTCGGCAGGGACGTATTAAGAGTCACGCAGTACATATTTTGGATAGTAGATGCTGCTTTGCGTAACTTTGTAGTAAATTAGCACAATTCGATGTGTATACGATTGGTGATGGATATAGGATCATGTGGGGGTGGGGTAAGAAATATATAATGATGTAAATATACGGGTACATAAGGGTTTCAAAATTTTGTTACTTGTAATATGTTTTATGTTATTAATTAATGTTTAGAACCTTGTTCCCAAGGTTTGAAAAACATCCGATTGTTGTCTATTACTCGTATTTACCTGCTGGATTTTTTAATCCCGTGGACAGTCCATCTAGAAAGGCCCTCCTGGATGAAGTTACAGAATCATACCATACCATACTTTACTTGTAGTGTGTCCTGCGTTTACCCACGTTTCTCAAGGTAATAAATCTTCCTGTTTTGATTTCTATATTTCCCAATTTTTGTTAAATAATCCCTCCTCCATAGCACAATTTCTTCTCTATCCAGTAGTAAACTATTACGACCCCGTTTTTTCCATTTGAAATTTAAATGCTTCAGTAACGCATGGAAAGTTGATCGTTTGGAATTTGGCAACGTTGTATCTCCATTTACCTCCTGCAGTACTTTATCTATAGTAGGTATTTCATTCCTAAAGAAGAATTCATGCACTTTCCTCCTAATCGCATGCTTATCAGCTTCATCCAATGATTTAACAATACTTTTGCGATGTTTACTGGTCATTGGCTCAGAAAAGCTGTGATTTTTTTTTGTATTGTCTTAACACATTAAACACTGATGCGCGACACACCCCAACTTTGTGAGAAACCTTCACAACAATTTCTTTGATGGTTGATGCCTCGTTCTCCTCGCGCTCGATCTTATATATATTCAAAATGACCTCTTTCATTTCTGCACTCAGGTGTCTTTTTTTAGAGCGTTTCCTAGGTGGACTACAGGAGTTTACAACTTCATCGGCAGTACCTGTACTACTGGGCATTTTGCGCAAGCAGTTGATAACAATAACAATCAATAACAAGGTATAACAATAACAACGACAAACTCAACAACTTAATAAGATAACAAACGAAAACGTCCAAAGAAATATCAAATTGCAATGATGCACACGACATACGTAACACGTCTGAACCTGAATGTGACTCTGCCTTGATACGACTGCTCTGCCGCTCGGCATAGGTATTTAATTGCGAATTTACCAATGAGGGCTCCTGTTTTACGTCGAGACGGCGGCGTTAGCGTGAAAATCACCCGAACCTTTTGTTTACATCCGGTCTATCTCTTATCTGAATATACTGTTCACTGCGCGTTCCCCGCTGTCTACCTCAAAAGCGATTACTTGTAAGAAACAATGTTTGTAATAAAAGTTGGAGAAAATTGTATGCTCTACAATATTCTCAAAGGATGCAAACAGCAGTAAGCCCATAGGAAGTGAAATCCTTGCTAAAAAATTGTGACCTTTGATATCTTTAGAAGCGGACACGAGATTTTCTGAGGCTTTTAGGATCATAGATATTTTAAATACGGCCTGCTCCATTTTCATCACAACAAGTACGAGTATTATGCTTTGTTAAAGTGTTTTAACAGAAGGGCATACTCCAGTCCAGCAAATACTCGTATACATAAATACTCGCATGGAAGCAATTTCGCAACTCATTTCGATCGACAGTAGATGGGATGTACACTTCCAAGAGTTTTACCCAACAAAAAGTGATCTCTTCCAACTTCTGTACTCAACAAAGCTAACGTTACTGAGATAGAAAACATAAAAATTCTGGGAAGTACAACTGTACGTGCGATTTCCATATAAACTGTCACAACCCTTCAGGGTGTTCGGAAAAAAATAATGTTCAATATGTTCAAGGCAAACATTCTGTGACATAATAAATGTTGTGCCCCCAAATGTATATCATCTGTCCCAAAACGATCACAACGTGATATAATTGTATCAATATGCTAACTTGTAAAACCAAATCGGATTGAATCCCACAGAAGTTACTAGAATTTATGGTAATCATTTTTTCTTTTAATGTAGAGGTCATAAAATATTTAAAATTATTTGTCAACCTCGAAAGAAGCGCGATTTCGTATGCGTGGGAAGTGACAGGAAAAAATTGAGGGCTCTCACAACTTCCTCATTCCCGCTCCTTTAACCGAAAACTTTTTAAAAATACTTTACAAAAATTTAACTGTCTCTACGGCCTCTACCAAGTTCTGATTAAAAACTCCAAAGCAAGCTACAGCCCCTATAGAACGTAGGGAAACAGATTTCAAACTCAAAGCCGCAACTTAGTTGATTGCAGATTCCTTTTCGGCATTTTATTCAAGAATTTGTATTATGGTATGTGGAGGAGTTATACACGACTTCATAATTCTTTTTTGATGATAAAATCAACTACTTTAGGATTCAATTCAATGAGCATTTAAGCATGAGACATTTTTTTGAAAGCAGACGTATGCACCTTAATATCACAGTTAAAAAACAGTACCCACTGTTTTGTGGACACTTAAAACGTAAAAATATCTATTTTTGCAGATATCTGTAATAAGTTGACGTTTCCTTAAAGAAGTTGCTAAGCAATCACTTGAATAACTTTTTTCTTTTAATGCTCAGGTTCGATTCGATGAATCCCATTCTTTTTCTAAACGAGACTTTTTTCTAGGTGTATACAAAAGACTATCACTCTCGTCTCAATGTCTACCAATTAAAAACGTACAATTTTGAATTACAAATGGATTCTAGGTGGAAAAATTGTATGACAGCACCTGTCAGCAGTTTTTTCGATACCTTTGATAACAAGTGACTATGGTCTCCTAGGACACCACAAAACGACGCTAATCATTTTTTTCTGATTTTATTGTCAATAAGCTTTATAAGCTATGTGTATGCAGTGGGACTTCGGTTGGCCGGGTGGGTCAGAGTGTCGTGCTACTGATCAGCCGCCTTCGGAACATTTTCGAAGCCATGGATGTTGTGTCGTCGTGTGTTTGTCCATAATTAAAATTAAAAATTACCAACCTAGTTTCTGGCTGCATGGCTTAGTCCTAAAGCCAAAAAAAAAAAACAAAAAAATGTGTATTTAGAATAATCTGTTACTTATGAAATAGCCATTCGGGCATCTAATTTTTTCCTGTGAAAAAAATCTTAAAAACACAATGCAAAGTAATATTTTATGAACAAAAAACTTATATGCAGGTGCAAAAATCCTCGTCTTCGACTCGTATTTTTGCTGCTACCAACACTCATGCTTCTTGTTAAAATATTACTTAGCAACGTGACTTTTCGTTTTTTTTTCGGAAAAATTAGCTGCTCTTCTGATATTACTCATGAAAATAGATCTCTGTGTACATGGTAATTCGAAAAACAGTGGGAATATTTAAGACCAGAAACTACATATTTGAAAAATAACACAAAAGTTCTTATACGACCTGGACTGACACCTTGCAGAGATACAGGGTGGTTCAAATTTCTTCATCACTAGAGGCCTTGATTCGAGATATGACATGGCCATTCTCCAAGCAACGTTGAGGAGAGATATGCTACATACAATTTTCAATGCCAAACAAGAATGGATTTTATTTTTTATATGAATTAGTAATTTTTTTCTCCTTTGTTTTGTAGTATAAAGTTTTGAGGCCAAAAGGAGCATTTTAGGATCTATGTTTATGCAGGGTAATACAAATGTCCCAGAAATGCAACATAATTGAGAATACTGAAGGGGCACGGTAAAAAAATACAATTTCAGTGGTGCCATCGAATTCGACCTTGAGCATGACGGTCAAGATCAAATCAAGGTCAAGATGATTTTTTGAAACGGAGCATATACGTTTGATCTTGGAAACGGAAACAACAGAAAATTTTACGTTAAGATATAACCCTGGGCGGAATTTATTTTGACCATGAGCGTTTTAGTCATGTCTAAAAGTAAAATTTCCGATACTAAACGTATCGGATATCTTGGAAAAAATTGCCTATACCTTAATTTGATTACTAAGGTAACGGTACAGGTCAGTTCCAAGGGGAGCAGTAAATAACAAGGGAAAATGAAGCTCCAGCTGCCTTTGTGTCATTTTTGCTTCATTGAGTAAGGCACCTGAAATCTCTTCAAATAGGGGCGTTCACGATGATCCTGACCAGAACATTCTGAGTGAAAATAATTTTATATTGTATTCACATTCAACGTGAAACTGAAAGTCAAAAGTATAGAATCACATTAAAAAATTCGTTTTGACCTTAAGTCATATGGTCAAATTATGGGTAACTTCTAAACAGCTGGGCAAATGCTAAGCTCCTACTTTTAATATACCCGTTCGATATTTTCAAACATCTTGCGTTCCGGGATCTTTGGATCACCCCATATAAGCTTCATGTGCTATTTTTAATCACAGTATGTTCTCTAAAACTATCTCTTCAAAAATATTTACTAGGGTCTCAACGTACTTCATCTTTGGACTATATTTGATAAACTTTGATACTAAGATGCATGCAAGCCTTCAGCAGTCAAGTAAATCCTTCTGCGCCATTTACTGCATCTTGAATGCATTTTAAATTAATACCCCATTCTAACCTTGTCGTACCCGTGAATATGTACCCGTCATCCGCATTCTACCCGCACTGACACATGGATATGTAAAGACCAACCGCACACTCTCGTGAGGCATCCCAGCAGCGTGCCACCTTAAGTCGCGTCGCGTAGTGCGACGCTGCGCAGCGTCCTAAAGCGGAGTCCACACCTTGGGCAATACATCGCACGTGGGGAACGACAGATCGGAGACGGCCGGACGGTTCACGCGCCTGCGCACACGGTATGGGGCTGCATACTGGATGAACTAAATTCACTCGCGATGTCACAGCGCACTTACACGATTGAGATGAATTGCATTTCAATGGTTTTCGGTTCGCGTTAGATCGTTGTTGCACTTAGGATGGGCAGTTGATCGAGATGTATTTTGAGTGGTTCAACCTGCGAAAGAGATGTACATTAATAAGGATTACAATGAATGGTTTGATACTGGTCAGCAATCAGAACATTTAGAACCATCAGATTTAAAATTACAATGTAACTGCCAACGAAAAAAGATTCTCCTGGACAAAAAAGGGTATTCTGATTGCTGGTCAATATAATAGTAATATCTCGAAGTCATGAATACCAATTGCGACAAAACATTTTAGTAGTATGTAGTGGACATTGCAAAATAATCCAAATCATTTTTATCGTATGACGCATATCGGCGCGTCTTATCTAACTCAGGTAAAGTATCGTTGCAACTTGTGTATACACATATTAGTGATATCAAAATTAATTATCTCCTTGCATATCCCATGTGAGAATCTAACGTCTGGAAAGTTGCGTTGTTCGTACAGAAATTCGTGAAAATATAAAAAAGCTATATGTGAGCTATGTGAGAGACTTCCAAACTATAGATAGGCCAAAACCCACAATGGGACAAAACAAGGAAACACTTATCGTTAATGTTACAGTTTGCAACTTAGAGTTTAATATTACCAGTCATCGGAAGTCACACTGCACTGTGCATTATATGGCTGTATTATCACGCAAGTTTGACAGATATATCATGATAAATGTCAACGTAGATAATAAATAATGCTGCAACTCATATAAATGACATAATTTGATTTTCCGTAACTATATACATAGTGGCTATGTTTACTCTATGAGTAGTTAACCACAAAACTGTACTGTTCTGTGCGTTAACACCCAGTGTGTGCTTAGGGATGCTGCAACGTTATTTAATTTACAGCGTGAGCCATGCGCTATACAGTAGCTTAGAACAATAGAAACATGGACGTTTGTGTTGCGTTAAAGGTTCATCTAAGCGCAAAGTTTAAATGGGCTGGCGCTGCGCCATATTTTGGAACGGTGCGTTACTGCTCGGGACAGCACTATCCTGTGCTTAGCTACCTAGGATGTAGACATTGAAGTTTTTTTGTATATTGAGTGTTATGTGGTGTCAGGCAAACATTAACTAAAGTAGTTAATTCCGTAACCTTGCGTTATACTTGCGGCAGTTTCTGTAGGACTCCAATGCAGCAGACTAACCGATGTTATAGAATTTCATCTGATCTCAATGGAGAAGTGTTGCATTATGCATATGTCATCATTTGCCATTGGATATTTTGGCTGGAAGTCGCAGTAAGTAACTCAATCGCAATAATGGGGATAAGGAGATTTATTGGTTGTCATACTATAACTAAGAAGACTGGATTATTGTTCAGAGGTCCAATCAGCTGATTTCCACGTACAACGCGGTCTTGTAAATCAAATGTCTGATTGCAGCAGACACAAAACAGAGCACGTGCTTCTGTCCCAGATGATTAAATTTCCGTAACCGTGTTCCAATTGCAAGTAGCGTCTTGTTGTGAGCTAGAGTGTTAAATATTTCCTGTGTATACTTAGTCAATATTGATGCAGTGGGAATCAGTGAAATATTTTAAATGTGGACATATGTTGAGTTTCCCGAGCCCGCTTTAGCATGAAATGTGTTGTAAGCAGATTTATCTTCACATAGTACTGACCGTAGATGTAGAAATAAAATAGCTTTGCGTGTTTTTGGTTAAATTTTTTTCTTTTAAAACTATTTTTTTATATCTGTGTGCTTATTTAGCAGCTAGTACAATAATGAGATAGATCAGTGAGACAACCAGATGATGGAAATTACAGGAGTTACATTACGATTTAACCTATCCTGCAATAATTGCCTCTTTCTTCTGAACTGATTAATGTGACCATAATCAACCAACCCTTGAGAAGTGGGTAGGTAGTATGAGAGATAAAAGCACCTCTGAGTATTCTAGTCCTTTCTAAAGACGTTTTGATTTATTTGCGACCCAACTGAACATTTTAAGGTAAACCGTTCAAACGAAATAGAAGCTTGCTCTTTCTTAAAGGTTTTGATAAACCATTCGCAGTATAGCGGACGTCAGCAATCTTCTTTTCTTTGTAGGACAGTTCAAGGCCAAGGCCGTCTATGAGCACTAAGTGGTTCAACTTTTCATGGAGGAGCTATTAATCAAGGATCTATCGATTCAGCATCCTCAAAAGCCGCATTTTAAAACACTCCACTACGTTAAAGTCCACATCTAATTTTATGGGACAGTTAAGAGAACAGGTATATGACATGTTCTGAATCGTAACTTGACAGGAAGTGAGCTATTTAAAATAAAACGCGCTGCATATTATTACTGTAAGTCTTTTATCTCTATCGGATTATTAGGACTACGAATCTATAACTACTGTAATACCTCACACACTGAAATATAAATGCGTGATCTAAGCTTGACTATTATTTTTTGTCTCTGTCTTTGCCTCAACAGTTTTATATACAATAACTTACATTCGCTAGCGTTAAATAGTTTCCCTCTTTGTCAAAAGGCCCTTTAACTTTCTATAGTATGTTCATAATCTACACGACGGTGGCCTGTGATGTACTTAGAAGTAGCTTCAGAGCAAACACCTGATGAACTATACTTCACCAACTCCTTTACATCAATCAATATAATCACATAATATTATTTTGTACTTACGTGGTGGGTCTAGAATAGAATTTCTGCATTGTTTATAAAATTGTACCCACAGATCATAATGCGAGTTCTTATAATGCTAGGAAACATGTCTACCATTAGTTTTTGATATAGCTTCAGCTAGATTTTTTTAAATCAATACTAAATTAAATTCAGGCCTGTACTCATGTTTTCCAATCAACTTGACGTTGTTAAACCGATGAGTGATTGTTCGCACTGGTTAAACGTACTTTTGATAACGTCAATACCTTATCTGACGGCATCTGAGTAAATATCTCCGACAAGTCTCTAAAATGCAATGTATAGAGAGGCGTCAACATTTGTTTTACAGAATTCATCACTCATACTGATGATAACTTTGTTTTCCTTTCTGTGGTTATCTCTACGTTTACTCTCTCTTCCCAAAACAAGGCTGCTTATATACGTTATATCACCCAGGCAATTTGAGAAAACAGTTTTCGTATATTGTGTGAAAGCGCATTTACGAGCACAAAGCAGAAGGTAAGTGTAGATGCGGCAAGTTGATCGCAGATTTCCCTGGAGGTAACCGTCAGTGACTGTTCGTCAAAGGCACTACGTCCTGATATTGAACTTTACACCAGGGATCATCGACTACTTCGGAAGTGAGTTTAATATGATCACATAAATCCTGCAAAGAACACTATATGCGTTTGCAGAAGCATAGTGGTAGTATCGGGTAATCATCATAGAGGTACGTCTACGACCTGTCGTAGTATTTCTATTCTGTATCGTCTGATAATTTTTCATGGGGAAACCTTGACCTGGCACAGTGCCTAGCAGAAGTTCAGCTGTTTCACCAAAATTAGTGTCTGATGAGGAATGTATTGTCCACACTATGGTTCGCATGATCGGTCTAGTAAAAACATACGATTTCAAGACACCTGGTTTGGATACTCATGGTGGTGATAAAATTGTAGATAGGCATGGGTGTCTTTGAGACATTTTACTTAAAACATGAACTTTTGGAGGAAAATGGTTTCCTAGTCAATTACAAATTATTTTTGACCTTTAACTGAAGCCACATACCAAGAAGAAAATTAGTGCAAGAATGTTTTGGCTTCCTCGATAGGATTTTCAATTAACACTTTCTTTGAATTTTTTATCTTGAAATAGGACATTTTGGGAACAGGAACGTTGCTAAACTAATTTGCTTGAATTATGCCATTAATCGGCCACTACGGCGAGGAGATGGATCAGCGAAAATCACATAAGTATTCCAGGAATTATGTGAAATTCATTCTCCTGCAGGTTTACTTCTTCCAAGAATTGAACAATTCCAAAATGTCTTTAGAGTACTTGTAGCCAGCCACTTCCAGAAGGCAAATCACATATGCTACATTTTTGGTAAGCAGGCTCTTAATCCGCCGCTGGTGTTGGTCCAGCTGTAATTTTTCCTACTGATTTTGTCCTTGAATCTGCCGAATTTCAATCACACTTTCTACCGCCCAAACATATACACAAGCATTCACTAAGAATTCGGTTGAAATACAGCATATACTTTTTTCCAACTTGAAGGTATAAATTGCTTATTGTGTTCTAAACGATTCCAAAAGGCTATGATGATTTTCATCCTTGCTACGCTCCTAACATACTAAGAAAAACATAACGCAATTAAATAGTTCTCCCTGCTGCATAGGGGGACAAAGAAGCAAACAGATATACAGATATATATATATATATATATATATATATATATATATATATTAAGAGAAATGAGCGGCTTCTCATGATGTAACTGCTCTGAATCGGCATAAATGCATGATTCCAAATTTAGTTTCATTATATTATATCCCTCTTTTCCGTGTTTCATAAGCAGCCAGATATCAAAACTCACTTGGGGTAGAACATAATGGAATGAACATGCATCTTAAAGGTCTAGGGACATTCTGTTGAGAAAACAACTGAACATGTTTATGCCTTATAATGCCCCTTGGGTGTACCTGTACATCTGTTGGCGTAATGAGAATATTACCAACCTCGCGATTTACTGAATAAGCGAATTATACACATAGATCTCTGATCATCTGTTACAGAAAGGAAGACTGGTAATGACCTTTTTTCTAATATAAGGCTAACAGGTTATTTCTGCCTGGGATACAGCAATACAGCAGGTAGTACAATTTACTGCTTCTAAGATTCTATAGCACTAACAAGGGAAATACAGATTCGGCCTCAATGGGCAACCGAGCTTATTCATGACTTTATTATTCGCTAGAAATTTGAATGTGAATAATAGTAAAATAATAAATTCATGGTAGATGGCACAAACATGTTTGTGCATACATGAAAAAGCTATTATAATTTGTTACAGTAAAGCCGAGTATTATTTACAATAACTTTTTACCGTCAATACCTCTATGAAGCTGTTGATATAGTGTGAATTACAGAGTAGCTGTATGTGATGATGAACTTTTTCTAACATGATACTATCATAAATACTATTAGTTTGAAACAATATATATATATATATATATATTAAGAGAAATGAGCGGCTTCTCATGATGTAACTGCTCTGAATCGGCATAAATGCATGATTCCAAATTTAGTTTCATTATATTATATCCCTCTTTTCCGTGTTTCATAAGCAGCCAGATATCAAAACTCACTTGAAACTCAAAAAAGATAAGGAGTGCACGAATTCTCAGTTCATCAACCCACTGTATTCTTACTACTACTATGAGCGTTAAGCCGAACTTCCTTGTGTAGTCAAGAAAGGCAGATATACACAAAAGCTAAATCCCATTAAATTATATTAACTACTTAATTGGATATATCCCTCGCAACTACTACGCTATTCATCTGATATGATGTGTATGCGGCTGCCAGAGGCTTTTGTTTTGACATTAGCGCCCGTCAGAGTGGAGGAAGGAAAGCGGTACACGGTGATATAAACAGACGAGTTCATCTCCTTTGAGTTGATTCTTCCTCTCTAATGTTTTGTAAATGATTAAATTATACAGCGTACTTACGCCATTTTGAAAATATTACTAGGCAGCTTCTCGGAGTTTATACACTTCGGGACAGTTAGAGCTTGCTTATAAAATGGTGTTATTACTGGCATCCAAGTTCTGTGTGATTTACAACGACAGTATAATTCCAATGTTAGATGGTCATCCGTTACAACCTTTAAAATCAAAATATGGAGAAATGCCATTGTGAACACGTTTATCTCTTTGTGACAGAATTCTGATTGCACTTATACCACCATGCATTTAATGTAGTTTGAGGTCATGGAACATCATGTTCCTGACGATGGGTCATCTTATTTGTGGTGATTCTTCTTCTCATATGATTTGTACGGGTTATTTAACAATACGGTCAATTTCTGTGTTGTTTGTAAATAACCGTAAATCGGTTCTTGCAGGGGCTAGAGGGACCATGCAAATTTTCTATGGTGACACCGATAGATTAATCCAAAAATTACTTTGATGAACTGCACAACTTCTGAATGCCTGGTTGTGAAAAGCATTGATAGGCTTACTGACAGATCTGCCTAGAGTGAAGTAATTCGTTGCAGAGCAGAGTAACCTTAGAAGAGCTTTTATACGTTCCATTGAAACATCCCCTTTCTGTAATGCCACAGAAAGATGTGATTGTCCTGTCAATGCAACAGAAAATAATGCTAATTTGATTCCTTCAGTGAGTGTATGTAAGAAAATAAAAATTAGGCATGAAATACAACCGTCGCTAGGACACAAACTTCTATACAGGGTGTTTTACAACTTATCTGACACATTTTAACCACAAACGCACTGTTAGGAAAGAAGTTGATTTCTCAAAAAAAAACTTCGTAAAAGTCCTACAGAAATTAAGCTATAAGCCAGAGTTTCAATAATAAATTGAAAAATAAATATCTGTATTTTGCGTTCATCGTCGTGACATTAGAACACGCATCAATAGTTTATTGTAGCAAATGTTGTACCAAACAAATGACGAAAACAATATACCAGGAATTTTTTGTTTCTTCATACTGATAAGAACGTGTGAATAAGGTTTAGTCTGTTTCGTGGGTGATCTGAATGAAGAACGGTCGATTTTTGTGAAGTTAAGTAAGAAAGTATTTTACGAGTTTATATTTTTAGTTATTTATTAATAAAAATGGCACGTGTGTACACTAGTTCAATTATTTTACGTGCACGTGCTGGTGAAGATTTGCACCACAGACGTGAAGTGGATGGGGTCGGGTTCGCCCACAACGCGTTTTAAATGCTGAAGACAAAATTTTTAATATTGTGGAAGAAAATCCGGGAATAAGCACAAGGTAGTTAGCCCAACAGGTCCCGGAAGTGTCACATGCAACAGAGTGACGCATATTACATGAGACCCAACTGTACCCTTAACACGTCCAGAGAGTCCAGGCATTGCTACCTACAGCCTACCTACTAAGAAGAAGATTTAATGAGTGGTTGTTGCAAGAAAATGCTCGAAATGCCCGTTTTACAGCTGATATTTTGGCTACCAATGAAGCTATTTTTACTCGTAATGATCAGTCCTCTGAGAATCCTCACGCAGTGTTCCAGACACACTTCCAACATCGTTTTTCTTTAAGCACGTGGGCAGGTATGGATCGTGATTTTTTGAGTCAGGTATACCAGATACGCTGGATCGGAAGGGGCAGACCAGTTGCATGGCCTCCACGCTCTTCCGATCTAAATCCTCTGGACTTCTTTTTTTGGGGATACTTGAAAAACGAGGTATACCGTACTCCAGTTCAGAATATTAAAGAATTGCGTGACCGAATCACAGTAGCTGTCGATAATTTGAGCCTTCAGGCACATCAGCAAGGAGGTGTATTTGAATTAGTGTGCCAAAATTGGATTAGACGCGCCCAAGCTTGCATTGCAGTCAATGGAAACAAATTGGAACAGCTTTTATAAGTAAGTAAACTGCTAAACTGTATCATTTAATTATCTGGTTTTTTTGTAGGACTTTTATTACATTCTTTTGAGAAATCAACTTCTTTCGTAACAGTACATATGTGGTTAAAATTTGTCGGATAAGTTGTGAAACACCTTGTATAGCGGAACCGATAGTTGTATCCCTTTTAAAAACAAAATCGTGGAAAGCGGATGAGTGCTGAGTACGCTCTAAAAGCACCTCCATAGCATGAGAGGAACCGATAAGCCCCTCTGGTTGGATTGACTGAATGATGAGCTAGTCAATATTTGCGACCGCTCAGTTATCTTGTC